CGCGGGGGGCGTGCGAAAACAGTCGCAGCAATCGATAGTGAGGGCGCCGTCGGCGCACGCCCAGGCGCCCGCGGGCTGGCCGCACAGAGCCATATCCTCGAGTGGGCTAAGCGCCACCGCCAATGCTGGGCGCGCGGGCTGTCCACCTCGGAAACACCCCTCCCGCCGTCTTCATACAATTTTTTTTAAAATAAAAAAATTAAAATATGCCCATCGGGTGAAGAGGAGGGCAGGCTCCGAGCACCATACTCGTCGTCTGTCGTCCTCGTCAGCAAAACCTAACGGCCCAAAAAAGGAATTGTCACCAGGCCTTGTTCACCATCTTTTCTGTTTTTTCCCCGTCTCTGTTTCTCTCTTCCTCTCATTTTTTCCGCCCCTCTCCCAACTCAAGTGTATCATGTCTGTTGTTTTTTAATTTCACGCTACTTCGACAGGGCGGCCGTACACCATAGCACTGCGACGGTGCAACAGGATGGGGCGGGAGGAAGAACGAACCGAATCGGAGCGGATCGGATACTCTTTCCCCTTTTCCTCTTAAAGCGAACCGTGAGACCGAGAAGGGGCGCGAACGGTGTAACTCGTCCAGTTTTGCCTAGTTTACGCTCGAAGCGGCCGCAGCCGAAACCAACAACAAAAACAAAGAATATCGCGGGAATTCACTTAACAGATGAAGGGCGAGACGGATATGGAACCAAATGGATTCCTGGCTGCAGGCTGGACTGGTAGGCAGGGCAAACTCAACTTGTGCGCTGAAAGTCCTCCGCAACTGCGGATACGCAACAGAATTTACGAGAGTTGAAAGGATAAACAGGAAAAAATGTGTTGGAATTAGACCGAGAAACAGGAAACAGCTGGAGTGGCATGAAGCCGAGCTCCCGTAAACTTCTGGTCCCCATTTCGGATGCACTCCTCGCACTAGAAACACAAGTGTAGTAGGTGTGTGCATGCCCATTCGAACACGTGTGGGAGTAAAAGTGTGAATTTCCCTTTAAAATTCACACACACTTGTGCCTGCTCCACGTGTGTACGAGTGGCTTTCACACTCCCAAGTGTTCCGGCATTCGCATACTTTAGTTTTTCCAATGCAAACATTTATTTAAGTATTTGTTTACCTGTTCGCAGCAGACAAAACTCAGCAACTTTTGGGGGAAACTGTATCTGAGATGGGGACACGGGACACATGGAAGTCGCGCAAATCCTGGCGCTCCGTAATGATCCTCTCTGGTGGCGTGCTTCCCCCTTCTCTCTCCGGCGTCGCGTCGATATCGTCTGAGGAACGCAACAGAGGCGAGAAATGCGGGGAAATTCGGGAGATCCGGGGTGCGCCGCGGGCGCAGCAGGCCGCTGGCGGTGCCAACTTGCGGCGCTCAACTTTCCCACGCGTCGCGGTGCATCCCCGGGCGCGCCCAGGCGCAGATAACAACAACTTTCGTAGTGTGGACTGCCTGGTCTTGTTCTTGTGGTCGGTGCCCCGCCTGCTGCTCTTTTGGTTAAACAGCTGTCGAATGCGCCTATCGACCCCAGAAGTATGTGTGAAATATATACGACGTGATTCTCCTGCGCGGCACCACGACGGAAATTTCTCATACCACGACCGCGCTCTGGTTCCGGTTTTGTTGTTATCATCTCCCCTTCATTCTACCGCTCACTTCCGGCGTTGGGATTCAATGAAGCAGCCTGTCTCTGTGACTGACTCATTGCCTCCCCCACGGGCGCGGTGAGACGCCTTGTTAACCGCTTTCCGCTTTTGTTCCTAAAGCTCGCTACCTGGTACCTTCAGGCGCGGTTCTAAAGGGGAGCGACAGGCGGGTAGTCGGCCCCCGCGGTCAGCCCTAGAAAGCCGCCTGAGAGGTGGAAATTCACTGAACAAAACCCCTGTATGGAAGCAACCCACAGCCCCCCCCCCCTCCCACACACACACACACCTGACAACCGGACCGAAAACCGCGCGCTGTGTAGGGCTTGCGGGTTTTGTTTCGTTAGTTAGTTTGTTTGTTAGTGAAACCTAATAACCTCTAAGGTATGTAAGAGAATAAGGCATTCCGGTAAAGTAAAATTTCAGAAGAATGCGAGGAAGAAGAAAACGGAAATCGCTATACTTTAACATGATGACTTCCGTTTTCTTGTTCCCTGCATTCTTCTGCATTTCAAATTCACCGGAATGCTTAGTTCGCAAATTAGATACATCGAACGGTTTCTCCTACCGAAAAGGCCGCCAATCAGCACCATTTTAAAAACAGCAAAGTCAGTATGTTTGTTGTTTTCCTACTTTCGTTTCGGAGGTCGTGCATGACCCTCTTCCACAATCTTTCGCAGTGCACCAATCAGAACGGTCAAGGTGGCGCTTGCACTCAAAACGACACGACACAATAAACCATTAATTCCGGTAAAGCTGAAATGAAGAGGAATGCGGAAAGCGCGAATATAACGCGCAGAAATCACTATGCCTGCAACAGCCCCTTTCCGTTTTCGCAGTTCCCCGCATTCTTCCGTCCTCTTCTTCATCTTCTCAGCTTTACCGGAAACTGTTTATAGGGTTGAGGCTGGACCTGTGATACGACGCGTACGCTACGCTACGCCACGTCCAAAAGCGATGGGGGCGGAGCGCGGAGCAGAGTAGGGGGCGGCGCAGCGACAGACAGACGCGGCGAAGTTGACTGTCATCCGCGTCGGCGTCTCCCGTCGCACAGTCGCGCGCGCCGCCGCGCTGCTGCCGCTGCTGCCGGTGACAACACCGGGCCAGTCGCAAAGAGAAGTATTCGTGGAAAATGCGCCGACGACCGGAGCGGGCGAGCGACTAAAACAGGGGTCTCAGACTGGGCGATCTGAGCGGGCCGCACCGAGCTGAGTGAGAGAGACAGATGCGCTGTAGGAGAGGAAGCGGGCTGGACGTCCATCTACCGCCTGCCAAACGCCAGCCGCAAGCGAGCGTCTGTGCTCGTATGCGTCCGAAAGCGACAGGTGTGAGTGAGATGCTCTAACTGCGCTACTGCTCCATCTCACGTCCACCTGCAGTTTTCGGACGCATGCTTGCACTGACGCCCGCTCGCTGCCGGTCTGTGTCGCTTGCCGGCCAGCCCGGAGCGGCCCGCCTATGCCTCCCATTGCGGCCCGCAGCGGGCCGCACTGCGGCCCGAGACTCGCCCGAGTGGCCCGTGGGCCGCGTGTCTGAGACCCCTGGACTAAAACTTTCAGCCGGGACCGAAACTTCGTGGCGCTCTCATCTCCACACACGACGCGAACGCGCGGCTGGCTGCGAGCGCAGGCGGAGCGCGCGGCGGCTGGCTGAGCGGCTGAGACTGGCTCTGACTGTGACAGAGAGGGCCCCCCTTTTCAAATGTGACGTTTTGTTATTGCTGTTTTGGGTTCGTTGCACTTTTGTTGGGGGAGGGCTCGCGGAGGGGAAAGGGGGGGGTGGCACCCATTAGAAAGGATTGTCAGGGATCGTCTTCTAAACCATACCTGTCGTTTATCCGCATGCGAAGAAACACTCCCTCATGTAGATTGGATAAAGCAAGTAGAACTAAGAGTCGTGACATGTCTCTACCCCCCGCCCCCTACCCCAATAGACCTCTGAATACGTAACTGAAATTTGCAGTATTCAGGCGTTAGTCCCCACTTCGGGCCTGTCAGGCGCCACGTCAGGCGCGTGACGCGCGCAGAGCCGCGTTCATTCATTCATTCATGGAAACCCACCTGTTTATGATGACGGACGCTGGTGAAAGGGTAATCCAAAAGTGAGAATGTTGCTCCTGACGGCGGTGAGGGGCCGGGCGCGCTCAGCGCGACATGAGGTCTTCTGCTCCGCCGGGCGTCACCGGCAGGCTGATGCACTGTCACACGCACTCAGCGCCATTCCGGCGCAAGACACTTCCAATTCACAAACAATTTTACGTAGATTTTTATAAAAAGGAAAATCACAAAGGTTTCCTTGTTTTCACAGAAACACACAACAACACACACACACGCACTGGCACGCACTGTTAATCCAAAGAGGCGGCTTGCTGGTTGGGAGCGTTTGGCGTCGTCTAAACAACAACCACCACAACAACAACACACGGCTGGGTAGTATCCAGGGTGGCGGTGAACCCGCCGGTAATCCTTGCACGCGAGGCGGTCGGCGGCTCAACAAAAACACACACTAAACACTTTGCACTGAACACACCGGTGTTCGGCTCGCGTCCGTCGGCTCGTCGCGTCGTCTGCTGGGGCTCCGGGCGGCGCGCTCACGGACCGTGCGCGCTGCGCGGCTCCGATGCGGGGACTGGCGCGGGCGGCGGCGGCTGCCGGGCGGCGCGACTCGCAGCGCTCCCCGCGGCGGCGCCGGGAACCCGCCAGGCGACCACGGGCGGCCCGTCCAGCAGGGGCTGGGGGAGGACGCGACGCCGCCGCCGTCCGCGAGGTGGGCGTCGAGGCGGCATGCGGCGGCGGCACCGACTGTGCGGTACCTTCACTTGACTTGACTAACCACGAGGCCTCTTTTCTCCCAAGGTTCATCATCCGACCGGAGCCGTTCATATTACTAGGCCCTTCCACCGGGGCACGATGCCGAGCATACATGCTGATCCCGGCTTCCGGTTGCAAACCCAGCATAACCAACGCTGAAGTCGCAGCCGAAAACCTGGCAACCAGATAGGTACTTTGAGAAGAGGCAATAATGATTGTCGCGCTGATAATAACTCTACCGGGCAGTAGTAGGCCTTTCCGAAGGTAGCAGGCGCGGTGAGGTTCTGCTGATAGGGCGGATGGGGGTGCACCGCAGGTTGCCTTCACACAGGAGGTTTGGGGTTTGTCACAAACTGCCAACCTTTCAGTCGGCTCCCTAGACCCCCCCCCCTTCCCCCACGTTATTACGTTCAGTCCCGAGGGGTAGGGGTGGGGGGTCACAATCACCGGTTATTGGCGCCTGGAAGATAAGGCAGTTTGAACTAAAATAGACAATAACCTATCTTTAAAATTTTCATTTAACATGAAATTTTGGCTAGCTTTTCTTTGACATCTCTGCCACAGAATCACTATATTTGAATTTGAATCAATCTGTCCCGCGGTGTCCCGAAGCCCGAAGTGCGTTTGTTTCCTGATGTCGAGTGTTTCTGACCCTGTGACCCCCCACCCCGCCTCTCACCCCAGCGGCAGAGGGTCGACCCCGAAGCCACCACACGCACCCCCCTCGCGCCTCGTCCACCCCCGCGTCCCCCTGTGCAGTCAGCGAGTCTAGTAGGCTGTCAGGCAGAGATCGCCGTGACGGATCTCACCTGACCGGGCAAAGGGGTGAGAGGGTGGGGGGTCGGGGCGAGTGGGAGTGAAAAACGAGGTGGGGGAGGGGGGGGGTAACAGTAAGCGGGGCGCAGCCAGGCCGGCCGCCGCCGACGGACCTTCGGGAGGCGCCATTGGCTGAGTGAGTAGCGTGAAAACAACGAGCATAGAAAAACAAGTAGTATCCCATTACCCCCCAACCCCCTATCCCGAGCTTGTCTCCCTGATATCCCGCTGGAAAGAGAGAGAGAGAGAGAGGGAGAGAGAGAGAGAGAGAGAGAAAGAGAGAGAAAGAGAGAGAAAGAGAGAGAGAGAGACGCCGGGGAGGTATCTGAGCACCGCCGATAGATAACAGTACAAAGACGACGGGTACCACGCCGCCGCCATATGATCTTTTTGATCTATTCAATCCTGCCAATCACGTCTATAATTTTGACGTTCGCCAAGAAGGAACAGTAAAAAGAATACTAGTAATATTCACGATAAAAATAATAATAAAAATAGCAGTATATGAAGCATTAGTAGCGCTGTTTCAAATCTGAGATTGAATGCCGCCGCCTAAATACCTCAAGTCTCTCATGTCTCTCTCTCTCACTCTTTTTCTCTCTCTCCGTCTCTCTCTCTCTCCTTTCGGTAGTGGTAGCTTTAGTTTCAGAAGACGATCTGTCGATCAACCTACGAATCATGATGGCTCCTGATCGGTCTATTAATCCGACAGGGTCCATGACCAGACCCAAGAAGACCTCCGCCCGAGAGGTAAGTGGGATGATGCGCGGGGAGGGGAGGGGAGGGGAGGGCCTGCGAGGGGGAAACATACCGTCGAGTTACCTTTCTTCGTCGCAGACAGTGACGATGAATGCGACTCGACGGCGGCCTCGTCACGGCCAGCTAGTAGTCCCCATTGTGCCAACGTGAATGGCCCATGTGTGCGTGCGGCAGTGTGAGTGTGCCCGTGTATGTGTGCGGGTCAGCAAAAGATCGAATGTGACACCGGAAAAACTTTCGCCACGGAGAACAAGGGAAGAAGTGAGTGTGAGTGTGTGTGTGTGTGAGTGCGTGGACGCCGGACGGCGGTGAGCAAGGTCAAGGCCCAGGCAGCAAAAATACCACGAAGGGACAGGTACGCACACTACTGATTCATACACTTTGCAGGCGAAATCACAAATATAAGGACAACCTCAGTTTTGATTAAAATTCTAAATAATGTCGCTGCTTTCTTGGTTCCCTCGCAGTTCGGCAAGCCGTCTTTGATCAGGGACAAGTTTTGGACCCTCAACCGTTGAGTTGACGACATGGTTGACGACCTGGACATTCCTCCATTTTTACACCAAAAGGAGTAGTGTGTGGGGCGGGATAGCCGACCATGTTCTTGGCTTTTCCTTCAAAAGATTGATGAAGTCGTTGAGGTGGGCGTCGGTGAGGGAAGGGGCTTGAGGGGATGGGG